CGTTGTGAAAGCGAAACTACTTCGTTTGGCCTTCCAAAAGAGGACACAACTAGAAATCAGTGGTTAAACAGTTCAAAGCAAATATTCAGATGTTTGCAGTCCATTTTACGGAGGACTGTTTCCTGAACCCGAGAGAGTTGTTTCTACAAAGTGGGGCAATTCCAACTTTGCAAGGACAGTCCGATCACAAATGCAGACATGGTTTTATGTTTACGCGGTGCGATATGCAACGCAACGAGTAAAAGGACAGTATAAGTCATTATAATCAGTAATTATGTCCCCACTGGATGCAACAAATGCCTCGTTTATAATGGGTTTTATTGGTTTTGTCTCGTCGTGCCGGGACACAGCATCACAGTATGGTAGGGGCGTAACATTTCCGTCACACGCTTGAGGTATTCGGCCAATCACAATGCACTGGATAGCTTGCCAATCAGAGCACACCTTGCTTTTCAGACCGATGAGCTTTGTAAAAATCTACGCATTTCAGAAAGGCAGGGCATAGAGGAGAAACAATAATGTACAGTATGTGGAATTTAATGTTTTTTGAACCTTAAACCGCATAAACATTTCATTACACCAAATAATGTTATTTTTAGCAACGTCATATGACCCCTTTAAAAGAGACAGACATGTAGATTAGGGATGCAACAATACAGTTAGTCCATGGTTCAATATGTACCTTTTTTTTTTTTACCATGGTTTTCGGTTCGGTTCTGATAGCTTCGCACATCAGTGTTGTTTTGCTACAAATTAACAACATAAAAACTTGTGTAAACCTCTGCACAAAAAAACAAAAAGCATGAATTATTATATGTCTGCTTAACATTTATTTTGAGAGAGGTATTATTTTTTCCGATTTGTACCCAAAATAGGATGGATTGGCAATTATTGAGCGCTATAAACACATATAAAGTGTTTCATTCTTACTGGATGCCAGAAGGCTCCCTCGCGCATAAAATCCACATATACTGTATATCACAGATGTAACACTGATGACGTTCCAGGAAATCCCTAATATGAATAAAGACATCTCAATCACTGTAACTGAATAAAAAGAAGATATAACGTTAAACGTTTTGAATGATGAAATGTAAGGACAATAAACACTCGCTGAACTGCTACACTTGCTGAAATCTACAAATTCACCCCTGAGCTTTCTATGGTCTACAAGTCCACTCCAGCTCCCGCTCTCGTCTATGAGTTCACTCCAGAGCTTGCTCCATCTCACAAGTCCGCTCCAGAACACACCTCAGTTCCAAAAATTCAGACCAGAAGCCTGAATACACATCTCCAGGGCTTAAAGTTCTCCGGCACCGTGCCGGATCTCTGGCATGCAGCATTTGGCTGCGGAAAAAGATAATCCTACATTTAAAAAAACTTGTTGATAACACTTTCGAGTCCATGAGTTCGCCTACCAATGGTATGAGAGGAGCTCAGCTTTCACTCTCAACCAAACTAACATTACTAGCCAATCAGAATATATTATATTATAATATTAAAATATTGTCTCGTTCTAGTGAACCAAGTATCTGTATTTTGTCTCATCTCGTGAACTAAGTGTATTGTCACACCCGATAAGCGATAAGCAGTGATATAGCTCATAATTTTCCAAGTGTATGATATACAGTAGCTTCATTCTTCAGGTCAACCAGATATTCATGAAAAAAAATCAGTTTGAAAAAGGAAAGCAATAACTTTGCCATAGTATCCTTTCAAATGTTAAAGTTGCCACAGTCATTGCACGCTTTGCATGTGCTGCCCCGCCCCCGGAAAAAGTTCAGGCTTAGGATTTTTTTTTTTTTTTTGCTTTAACCCCTGCATCTCTGGACACATCCTCTTCATCAGCTCCCATGTCATCTATGATACTGTACTTCAATTTGTATGTCATCGTCCTTGGATCTTTAAACTGGCCAATCATTTCATCCAAAAGAGTGATCCTATGCAGTTTTATGGTTACATGCAGGAGTTCATATTCAGAAGTTGACCACATGAGCTGCATGATTCACTTGATCTGCGACAGGACTGAAAGCCTCCTCTGCCAAACTCAAATCAATCATACTGACTGCATTGCTTGTAGATGGATAAATGACGTTAGTGATTTCTAAGTCAGGGTCTTGTGTTTTGCATTTGCAAATTTTGGGTTTAGTTCTTCCAGAGTTGGAATCTTGTGAGGGCACCTCTTCAGGCTCACATTTAATTTCTGTGAGTCAAAACAGATCCGAAGTAATCCCTCTTTCTTTGGGCTGAAGGCAAGACTAGAACACCAATCCATGTGCTCTTCTACTTTTTGCAGCAAAGTGAGATATTAAAGGGCTACCGGGAACAACTCATAAACCTTCAAGCAGTTAATGAACATCTAACTCGTTACATCCAATCGCTCCCCGCACCAATGCCGAAAACGGTAAGCTTTGCTCTACCTGATAAATTTGATGGCAACCCTCCTCAGTCCCGGCGGTGGACGAATGGATTAGTCGTAGTGAGAGGGTGTGGGACGGTGCACATGTCCGCCTCCAGCGAGCTGTGAGAAGACAAGAATTGCAGGCCAACAGGCGACGTCGCCCACATCCTCCCTACCAACCAGGACATCGGGTGTGGCTCTCAACAAGGGACCTCAAGCTGCGGCTGCCCAGCAGGAGCTGTCCACGGTATGTTGGCCCTTTTAAGATTCTCAGAAGAAATATTAACTATTATTATATTATATTAACGGTAAGATATAAGATAAATATCCATATTTCAAACGTAATAAACACTTTTTTCTCACTTCCGCTGACTGTGGAAGACGTTCAGGCAGATGAAGTAGGACATCGGCGTTGCATGATTAGTGACAAACCCACAGGCACGTTTTATTACGGATGCACACACTTTATTTCACCTCTTCTGAACTGTTGACAACAAACACCCGCTTATCCATCTCTCATCGAGGAATTTCATCGAGCCAGACCCGATCGTCCAGCACCACGACCACGGGGACGTCCACGTCGAGCTCCAGGAGGAACTCTCGTTTGTTTATCTTCCCTCCTTCGCATTGTTTTCTTTTTTTTGCCATCACATGAACATTTACTGTCACAAGACTTAGGAGCTCCCATGTGGTTAGTCCAACTACAGCTGGTCCAGGTACATCAACAACGTAAAACTTTGCATCTATCCATCTGGGCTGCGTTTCCCAAAAGCATCATAAGCAACTTCGATTGGATTCGTCTGAAAGAAGAAAGTCATATACACCTAGGATGCTTTGAGGGTAAGTAAATGAAATGAATTATAAATTCATTTACATTAGTGTTGGTACTCAGGGCAGGGTCTCGGATGCTGGGCTTTTTGCCCATTCTGATCTGAAGAAAGCACTGGACCAGGGTCTCCTGAATGTTCCTCCTCCAGAAAAGCTTCCCGGTTCTGAAATTGTGATACCCTATTCACCTTAT